AAATGATCTGCAGGATAATGTTTGAAAAACCTCCATTTATTGTCAGATTAGCAATTGCCTTTAAACTGCCAGGTGTAACTGAAAGCAAAACAAATACAGGCATGGTTTCTGTATTCTAACTCAAATGGATTCATGTATTCTAAAGGTCACTTCGTCTTTCCTCCCCTCCTCCCTCCTCATATCTAGTATGACATCTGGTAGCTTATCCAACTACATGTTGCTTAAAAGTAAGTGTAGTTCATTTTCAAATGGGAGAAGAGCCTTCTGATGGAAATGAAGACATTGGAGACTTATACTTAGTTACAGTTATAGTCTGAAGCCCTTGCCCCTGAACTTGTTAGTTACCACAATAGTTACATTTTAAAAAAAAAATGTTATATTTTAAATTGTTTTATTTTATATGTTGTACGCCACCCAGGGTAGTCTATTGACTAGATGGACAGGATATAAATTCAATAAATAAGTAAATAAATAAACTCTTTGATTTCTTATTTCTCAAAGGGAACTAAATTAGCTACATTACTTTTAAGTGCATTCAAACACAACAACTGAAGTCTTTTTGCTCTTACCTGGGCAAGCTGAAGCAAACATCGGTAAGGCATGTTCTTCTTGATGGTGATGGTTGTACCTCTGCACAAATTCCTTCTGGCTCTCTAGAATACTAAAATCAGCAGCTATTGTGATGTCAAACACATAATGCACTCCTGGGGGGAAAAACGTGGAAGACAATAAAACGTTATCCTTATGATTTGCTATTTCATGAGTATGATCTACACCTTCTTCAGCCTTTTCCTCACACTTAAAATGAGATGTAGTGTGGACAAGAATCCAAAGGAAACACGCACCCATGTTTCTACTAGCACATAAAACACACACATAAATGCACAACTACACACAGCTTTACCAGAACCATTAATAAGGATGCACATTTAGAATTAGAGATAACACTTGAGAACTTCTTCCTGATGTACTAGTTTTATATGCTGGGGATTTACAAATGGAGAACATTTGGAAACCTGCACACTCCCCTATATATCCTGTTTGTAGCCCATCACTTCATTCTGCAGTCTGTCTAAGTTTTGGTTAGATCTGACTTCACTTCCACCCACCACTGCATGACCAGGAACTTTAATTAATTATAAGAATTTGCTAAACATACAGATTCTGCTCCTATAACAAGCTCTTTTGCAAAAGGACATCATCACCATCACCACCAGCAGCAGCAGCAGCTACTGAGTAAGGGGTAAGAGGAGAAGACACGGTCAACTCAGCAAAAGAATGAACAGACTGTAAATTTCAAAGATAAAGGGCTCGTAAGGTTTGTTCAGTGTCTGTCCAGAGAGTAGACGCTTCTCTAAAATAAGTGAGACAAACTGTGTATGGGTAACACTCTCTGTATCGCATAACTCCAGAGAATGTTAGCAAGCTGCCTATACCAGACTGCACAACAGACCAAAGCTTATCAGTGTTCTTGGAGGGGCTGTGTAAGTTGCTGCAGTTAACTGTGAAGGCGCAAGGGTACGTGCTGGGTGTTCCTCGGGCTATGCATCCATCCAGCCATGCTCTGGTGACTTTGGTTGATGGCAGCTCTCCAGATACTATCTTCCAGTTACTTCCTCCCCAAACTCCAAAGACACTGGGGAATGAAGCTGGGGCTTTCTGCATGTTCCTTCCCCAAAACCCACTATGGAAGTGATCTTTACAAATGGACACAAAAATTATATGGAAAACAGAAAGCCCATTTCTGACTTCTGGAAGCCTAGATTCTTCTGTGGGTCTGTTCATTTCTTTGTGTTTTCGCTTTGTTTTGTTTTTTAAAGAAAGAATTCCAGCCAACCAGGTACAGCCAGTGGTGGTTTAAAGGCCTATGGGTTTTATAAATACTGTCTGAAGAAACAGGCCAGCTAATGCCCACAGAGCTAGCACATGCCCATTGTGTGGAACAGAGAAGCAGTAAAAGCATTCAGATGACCTACAACTGCAAGCAGGCACCTCCTTGGCATGTGCTCATGGTTCTCAAGGCCTGTGACATAGGTTCTTGGCCGAGCTGCCAACATCTTCATCACTTTTTCCCTTCAGACTGTGAACTAAACATTTTCTGAAGGTGGGCAGCTGTGTGAAGGAATATACGTGCAGGATCAGGATTGTACATCCTGCTCTCCCCCTTCCCACAGTAGCACCTTAGCTCCACGTGTTCAAAATGGCAGGTCTATAGAACCCTAGATGTGTACACACACCAAAGAAAATGGATTCCAAAAGGTGATCACAAGATTCATGGAACTCTCAGATTCCATGATCTGATCTGATCTGTAGCCTTGTGAATTTCTCACTCGGTTGCAACACTACAAACCTTTACATTCCTTCATTCCAAATAATGCAATAGAAGACTTGATTCTAACTCTTTCTTATCCATCTTAAGTTATCTGTTATAAGTTTATTTACAATGTTTCTGAACACACCCATTAATGAATCACTTATTAAACAGTTTCTCAAACCTATCTTATGACCTGCTGCTGCACATTGTAAAATTTTGCCAAAGAATCAACATACAAAATAAAACTGAAAACAGAAATGAAAAAAAAAGCTGTGTTATGCTTTTTCTCACTGTAATAATAAACTTACCAAGACTTTTGAGGAAACTGCAAAGCTTCTTGGCTGCTTCTGTTACAGAGAGATTGAATTTAGCAGCAAAATAAGGCAAGGACTGAGGACATACAGACACTGCCAACACTTTGTGTTTTGAGGTATCACATTTCTGGAAAAACAATACACAACAAAACATACAGGTGAATTACTGCAACAGTACAGAGTATACTTTATTGACTTTCACTGTACTTATTTCCCTAATACAGTGGTGCCCCGCATAGCGAGGTTAATCCGTTCCGGATTAACCTTCGCTATGTGAAATCTTCGCTAAGCGGGAAGTAAAAAGCCATTGGAACGCATTAAACTTCATTTAATGCGTTCCAAATCGGCCCTAAACTTCCCACTTAGAGAAGTTTCCTGGCCCCGGGCAGCCATTTTCGCGCCCTCAGCAAGCGAGGGGAGGGCGCGAAAACGCCGCGCGGGGCCATTTCGGGTCGTCCGCGGCCGTTTTGAAGCCGCAAAACAGCTGTTTTGCGGCTTCAAAACGGACCCGAAAGGTTAATGCGAGTGTGGCGATTGGGTGCTCCGTATAGCGATCCCGAAAAAGGAGATCGCTATACGGATTCGCTAAGCGAGGCACCACTGTACAAAGATTAATGTAGCATTCAAGTAAGACTTCAGAGAGTGGCTATTTGTCAGTCTTACTTCTTCCCCATTTCCCACAGAGGGAAATATTTAACTCAGCTGCATTATATATTTGCACCTCCTCATGCCTCAGTATAAATGAGAGAGAAAGAGAAAGAAAGAACACGTCTAAACTGGTGATCACCATATTATAAGCAGGCTCGTACAAAGTACCGAGTTACAGCAGCAACCAATCTCCTCTCTTTCCCTTGGCTTGTGATTTCGATCCAGGTGCCAGGGTCCAAGTGCTCAGCGCAGCCTACCAGTAACGATACCTGCCTTCAGGACCAATGGCCAGCCTACCATGGGGTGGTGGAGTGCCCCCAGTCTATCACTGCTCCGAAGCAGCGTGAGGAAACTCAACAGTGGCCCACTGCTATTGCCAATTACAGGAGGAGGGTACCTGTCCAAGGAGACATTGCTAAAGCCCTCTTCAAACCTGGAATTCCCCATCTCTTCCTTTCCCTTGACACCCAAAATGGGCACACAGCTTTCACAGGGCAACACAGGTGAGGAATCACATTACAGTGCCACAGCAAGGGCCCCACTCTCTGCCTTCTGTCTTCTATGCTGGTAGGTGGAGGAAAGTCTATGTGTGTCCATGTGTCTTTCTGTCTCTCAACTGGGTTAGTTACTGATCAAAACAGGCTGCATCTGCCCTGGCTATGCGCACATATATCTCCTGGTGGAAGGTGTTCTGCCCACTTAACATTACAGTTAATAATAATAATGTGTTTACAAATATTGTGTCACACCAGCTTCTCAACAGTCTGTGCTGGCAACCGTCAGCATTATACTCAGGCTACCGAACTCAAGTCAAAATTTCTTCCCATGACCCCTTTTGTGAAAAGCAAAACATTAGATATGAATTTGATGGTAAGAAAGTTGCATCATTCTCCCAGGCACATCCCATCAACTTGTAAAAAAGTTTTAAAGTCAGGTATTCCTACAGCAGTAAGGGATATCAGCAAGATGGGGCGAAAGCCTCTGTGATTTACTGTACAATTCCCACCCTGTGAGGAAGAGCAGAGCTTCTCCTCAGGGAAAAGATCTATATAATCTCTCACATTTCTTAACTGAAAAAAAAATTCTGTACAAGAGCTCTTGAGTTTTTGCTCTGTTCAAAACCTGTAAAGCAGACCAATTAATTTTTCAGTAAACAGAGCATTTCTTGGTTTTGCTTGTTTTGGCAGAAATCAAATCAAATAAAAGATCATTTCATAGCAACATACTTAGGTTAACCACAGAGTGAACATTTTCTCAGAAACTAGCCTATTGATTAAACTGATTATTGTGCCTGAAGCTTCCTGCCAGTCCCTTACAAGAAAGAGGAGAAAAGAAAATGGTTCAGGAGGGTAGTACTTTAAACCCTTTACACAGGATAACCAAGAAAGCCACTTGAATGAGTTCCAGTTAAGGTAAAGCCAAAGAAAGGGGAAAGGTGGAAGAAGCAGACACTAGGGGGAAAAAAGAATTTTAAAAAAAGGATTGGTGATAGAAAAGTCAAGAGAATAAAGAGGCACATTGTCTTTGTTTTGTTGTTATCCCTTTTTTTATTCCTTCCTGTTGTTGTATGGTTGTTTATGTGGTATATAATACTAATAATACTAATACTAATACTAATAATAATAATTTTAAAAAAGAGAATGAAGAGGCATATTTATTTATTTTATTTAGTTGTTTTATTTATATATTTGTAAAAAGAGAAAAAGAAAAAGCCAAGGTAGACCACAACATGGGAATGAAAGGTTCTGAATGTGAAGGGAAGCTTGAATTAAATGATGGAAGGGTGATGATTTAATATAAAGACAAGAGAGTGAAACAAACATATGAACAAGTTGAAAGGTGTGAAATGTAGGGAAGAAGGCGAGCATTTCAAATGGGACAATCGAAGCAATATTCCAATAATCCAGATGAGAAATAATCTGAGAGAGAATAAACCAGATTTGTAGAACTCAGGTAAAAAAAGGTGGGTACCAGAATTATTAAGAACTTGATGCCAACTGGATTTAACAGGAAGAATTAAAAATAAAATAAATGTCACCCAGATCGCATGCTAGGGAAAAAGGAAGGGTTCCCTTCCCCCAGTTTGTGAAAATAAAGTGAGTTTAAGGACTACTTTTGAGCACTTTTAGATATAAAGAAGAACAGAAGAACACATTTATGGCTAAAGAACATTTTTTGAATGCAAGAAAAATAAAAATACCTTTGAAGTTAGAAAGAAAGATCCCAGATGAATAAATATAAAAAATGTAGGGACCAGGAAAGATAGGATAGCTGGAGCAAGCGACCTTTAAAAACAGGAATTAAGCATACTCATAAGAACAACTATCAAACTGGAATCACAGTTTGATAGGTTAAAGCAACCCATTTTCTATACATGAGACTTTCAAGAAGTTGTTTTTTGGTTCTATGACTTGCAGAATTTCTCCAAAGCAGCACTGACCAAACTGGCCTGGGGGTTATGGAATCTGTACTCCTGAAAAGTAACTTTCAAAATACCTTTTCAACATACCTTTTCAAAAGTAACTTTCAAAATAACAAACACCTTCCCTTTACCTTATTAAGACTGAGTACACGGAAGAGCTCCTTCTGATTCTGCTGGAAAATTCTGACCGCTTCATCTGAAGTTATGCAATTATCACAAGCTAGGCAATCGCTAAGGAATATTTTAGCATTAGCCAACCTATGGAATTCACTTGTCTGAAAATGGAAAATAAAACAAAACACCAACAAAAATGTGATTCGGAACAGACATCAATCTGGAGAATTTTTGAAACACTCAGTAGGGTTGTACTGTAGGGGTTCATGGAGCTCTGGCTAAACGACAGGCAAAAATACAGAAGTCTTTAATAAAATCTCCACCCACCCACATATTTTTTTTTAGCCAAAGTCTTCCTAAAAACAATAGCTGCATGCGCTGCCCCAAAAGGTAAGGAGCCACACCTTCCCTCATAATTTGAACATGTACTAGGAGAAAGATGCATGTCCTGCCTTAACAAGGGTAGTCCTTTAATTGGATCAGAATAAATATGATCCAGAAATTAACCCAAAGGATATTTATTACCTCATGATTTTCACTATCTGAATCGAGGACATCAACCGGTGTATTTTGTTGGTCACCATTCTTCTGTTTTTTACTACATTCCTGAAACACACCACAAATGTTAGTCAGAAACAACTAAATCACTGGTCAAAACATTTCCAGGTGGAATAGTCTTTTCTGGTGTTTTCATTCTGTGGGAGCTATAACAGAGGCACATAATAGGTCAATTGACATGTTGAATATGGTATGTCTTATTATTTGTTGTGTGCTTGAATAACACTGCCAATTGCTGTATTTGTATGTCGCACTAAACAATGTTTATCTTTTAGTATCATTTGTCGTTCCAGTCATTACTTCTCCTACAGAAAACCAAATTACAGATGGTCTTGTCAATTTCTGATCTGTATTTCCTCCAGACCTTTCACCAACTTGTTTTTCAGAGTGAACACACAACTAAGAGAACAAAATTGGGACACGCCACGTTTCTGAGTTCAGATGTAACAACATCCCAGAGTTTCAGTAAGTCAAATTCATAATCCGCCAAATAAAGAGCACATGACTTCCAATTGTGGTTTGTGGTTTAGCTAATAAATTACATTTTAATTGCAAGGACAGGTATGGACATAACAAAAAGTGGGAATTCAGTACAACACAATATGACTTATTGTTATAGGCAGACTCAGCCTATTTGGTCTTGTTTTGCATAACTCTGAAAAATAGCACACATGTTAGCAATGGATGGAAATTGAGAAAAGACAGAAGAAACGGAAATAAACTGATGATAAGTGGTGATGCATTATTAATAGGCACTTTAGGCTTTCATCACTCTATCTAATCCAGTCCTCTCTGGTCTCACTCTTTAGAGTCTTCACCTACCCAAACCTAGGAACCTAAAGGTGCCAGCTTGAGGGAGCACTTCAGCTATCTGAGGGAATGGGCACTGTCCATTCCCTCAGCCCATGCCGAAGCAAAAGTGGTGGGATGTCCAAGGTGCTACAAGACTTTTTGGCCGTGCTCCACAGGGCCCAATGGAATTTGTTCTCAATGCTGTTGTGGTGGATTTATTTATTCATTTATTATTATATTTGTATCCCACCCATCTAGGAACACAGTACAGTACTACTCTGGGCAGCAAACAACAATAAGGAGAATAAAAAATAATAACCCACCCACAACATAAACCCAGAAATAATAAAAACCCAGCAAAAGAACACCTAAGGGAATAGCAAACAAACTCAAGATTGAAACATGTGGGTTTACCAGAGGATCAAAAGGGGAAGATGTTATCAAAGGCCTCTTAAAACAGCTCAGCTTTCACCCATTTCCTGAAGGTCAGAAGGGAGGGAGCCTGATGGGCATCCACAGGCAATGCGTCCCACAGTGTTGTGGCCACCACCAAGAAGGCCCAGCTTCTGGTGGTAAATTTCTGTCCTTCTCTAGGTAGTGGTAATCCTAGGTAGACTGGGTGGCCCTGGTAAATGATTTTAAGTAGAAGACAGTTTATTTCAATGCTCTTCTGATCTTTTAAAAAATCCCTTTCACATTGTGTACAACATACATGCATTGTTGCTAGTCCTGGTATAACTTAATGTGTGTTTAGTTATTTAAATAATATGCAAAAATATCTTGAATTTGTCCTTCTTTGGTAATTGACTATAACAAGGATTATCTGTGGGTTTGGAATCAAACCCACAGCTATTTATCTATCTGTTTGTTTGGTGTAGTACAAATAAAGCATGTTTGTGTTCTTTCTGAAATTATTAACAACCACAAAAAAGAAGTTTCATTTTAAGCAGGATCTACTGACTTAGTTCCTTTTGTTACAGACATTCCTGAATAATTATAGTAATAAATTCTGTTTTACTGTTTCCAAATATTAATAGGCCTCAAACATTTAAGACATGTTTTATGATTGTGAATTCACCTTCATTTACAAGCTGGGAGAAATGGTTATTAGGTTTGGCTATTAAACTAGAACACATCATCAAACTATTGCTTGCACTGCACCTATTTTCAAAGCTGAGTCACTTGTATTTTGGTGGGGCAGACTGTAGACAAACATAGTTCCCAAGAGCCCACAAAATACCCAGAAACACAAAATACCTAGAAATACAAAATGCAAAGTCAGCAAATACTCCTAGGAATCTGTTGCCTTGAGTCCCATTTTTTGGCGAAAAGTGAGATATAAATTGAGTAACTGACTGAAGTAGAGCTTCTCTTCCTAGATACAAACAAAGGGACAGAATTTTAAAAGGGTAATTTGTAATGTTACAACATAAAGGCTACGAAAAAGTATATGTGAAGAAATAATAATTTCATTCAAAACATGAAATTATTGTTTGCTAAGACTGTTTGTATAGGGCTGACAGTACAAAGCAACTGGCTTCTTGGGTGATTTAAAACTGAATGTTAAAGAAATTGATGAGGTTACCAAGTGTATTTCATTGACATATTTTAGTCAAGCAACTTTGTGGGGAAATGGCCTCTACTCATTTGCTCCAGAACATAAATTAACTATAGGTCCTTGGAAATAAACCTACTTCTGTATTATCAGCCATATTAACCCATTTATTTAAAAAACACCATTGGCCTCCCAAACTGTTTTGTACACTGAATCATGGAACAAAAGGATCAAAATTATGGAGAAGGCAATTTGCTGTAACAGATCTTAACTGCTGAGAGAGGTAAGTTGTCTCTCTCTCAGCACTCACCTCACAGCCCAATAATGGAGAATATCTGCATCTACATACATACATATATGGAGAAGTACATTCTTACATACATACAAACATTTACAGAATAAACTGTAAGACAGCTACTCACATTTTTGGTACAGTTTTCGCACTTCATTTGTGGGGCTTCCCTTTTAATTTGCTGGGTGGTTCAATTGAGTCTCACTATAAATGTCACGGCTGTGTCCTCAGCCAAGAGATCTAGACAAGGAAGCAACGTCGTCTTCTTCTTTTCACCTGCCTGGAACGTTCAAAAGAACAAGAATAGCAAGGATGGTTGACCCCTATTGCAACAACTGCCTTTCAGCCCTCTTATGACTTTGCCTCTTTTTGAATAATCTTCTCTGGGACCAATGCGGAGTTGTGAAGGAGGGGCCACTTGACTGCTCAGCTGCCAGTGAGGTCTTCCTGTTGTTCGCAAATGAGAAGTTTTAAATCCTCAATGCTTTGCGGGACGGACTACAAATCCCTGTTCTCAACTAGTAGAGAACAGCTATTACGTTACAGCATGCTTTGTTTCCTAGCAATGATTAGCTTCAGATACAGATGCTTTTATTGAACCATACAGATAAACAACAAATTACTTATCTCGCCATAGAAACCAAGGCAAACATTTGATTTTATAACTCTGTTTTTGCTCAGAAAGAGGGAGACAGGATTGATACCACTCAGACACGCTTGCTTGAGGGGTATAGCTCAGACATGGTTGCTTGAGACAAAGAGACAGGATTAGGATCACTCAGACATGCTCGCTGGACACAAATGAGGCATGAACTGACAACTGAGCAGGGCTGGGAAGTTTATGCTTTAGAAGTAACACTGTGACCCGTAACTCACTACTTTTCTGATATCAAGGGCACACAAATAATGCCACGTTTCACAAGTAACATTTTAAAACACAATTTTGCATTTCTTTTAAACTGTCTTTCCAAAGTATTTCTCAGGCATTTTGAATGGAACATTTCAAGTTTTACAACATGCTTTTTATATATAAAAAGCGCTACAGGTGAATCAGGTTCATGGCTAGGGCTCCACAGCTATTCTAAACAGCTTGTGTGTATAGTCTCAAGGCTAGCCCTACCATTAGGCGTAGTGAAGCAGTTATCTCAGTTGTGACATTTCAGGTCTCAGGAGTGTGAAACAAATTACGCTACTTACAGCCTTTATTGCTCTTTTATTGCTGGGGATGGGGCTAAGTGCTTCTGCCCTTTCTGCCTTATGTAGTAAATTAACTTGACTGGCTTTAGTTACCGAGTACCTTTGAAGGGAGAATAAGGAATAGGCCATGTGGTCCCCAAGATTACACAAATGTAAGACTAACACGGCAACCTCGTTTGAAACTACCATTTCAAGAGTGATGATATCTTCTATTCGACCACTAAAATATAAAACAATAGCAAATATAACTTGTCAGGCTTTTGGTCTCAAGAGCAATGGTGTAAAAATTCTAAGCCTTGCTGCAGTGACACTGATGGCCCAGCCTCAACAAGACTTGGATCATCTTTTTTTGACTTTCGTCTACAGTTTTTCTGCAGTATCCATGAAGAAGGTGTGCTTAGCCTGAGGAAGCTTGATACAGTACTTGTTTAATATCTTAGTGGTCCAATAAAAGGTACCGCCCACTCTTGCATTAGAAGGGAGAGTCTGATCATGAAAAGATGAAGGAGAATCAGGCAAACTCTCTCAGATGAAAAACCCAGGTGTCTTTCAAAATCTAAGCAGGATGTGAAAAATTGCAACTGATAAATACCCAAATGCCTTCCTATCTTCTGTTGCTTGCTCACCCAGATATTCAAAGCAAGAGACTGCTTCTCTTATACCTCAGACGCCTATCTTCTGTTGCTTGCTCACCCAGATAGTCAAAGCAAGAGACTCTTACACCTCAGACCCCAGAACCATTGCTCTTTTTGAATCTTTAGACATAATGCTACGAGCTGAAGGACAAGATTCTGAGACTTCCTTTATGAGATATGTCCGTTCCATGGAACACGCATGATCTGCCTTTCCTGCCTGAGCATCTGCTCCCATGGGGCAAATGGCGAAGGTCAGCTATATCCGTCTTTGAAAGGCCGATACTGTAGCTGGTTAGCGCCATCAGTAGCAACTCGCTTATCTACGGAGGGACTGAGAAGAGGAAAGAGCCACTCACATGCACCCGAGGGCTGAAATTTTCAAAGTGGTAGCCACAGTAGTCTGTGCAAACATACCAAACAAGAAACAAAAGGGAAAAATTAAGGAAGATCAAAACCTTGCGGCACCATAAAGACTAACTTCTATTGTGTAATGTGATTTTTCATAGATAAGTCCCGACTACAGGGGAAACATATCTTGGGGGCCTGTATAAGTGATTACCCGTGATTTTTCATAGATAAGTCCCGACTACACAGAAACATTTATATCTTGGGGGCCTGTATAAGTGATTATCCTGTAGTCTCAGTCTTATGTCTGAAGAAGTGAACTTGCACCATGAAAGCTCACATTAAAAGAGAGCAGCTAGTCTTTAAGATGCCAAATCTTTGACTCCTTTGGATTTTATTTGTTTCTTGCCCAAGGGCTGAAGGAGATCTTGCACTTTGGTCAGACTGAACGGGTGGAACATATTTCACTGCATGGATCTTACTCTTGGTCCCTGTGTACCAATATATTTTGGATAGACACGTGGCAGATACTCGAGATCTTTGGAAAAGCCCTGTAGACAGCAATATCCAGCCAAGTTTAAAAGATGAGGGTAACAAACTAGATATAAATGCAGTATATCAGGAGAGGTGGGCGTAGCCATGGCATTTCGAATTAGGGAGAACAGCAGTCTGCCACAGATGTCCCAAAGAAAAGCTAGTGGTGTTACAAGTCCTCAAGAAAACGAGTGGGATGCTCAGATGCTCACTTCAGTCTGCACTGCAGCAGAGCCGCGGCGCCTCCAGCCGTCTAAAAAAAAAAATCCATTTACTCGGGAGCAACACCCAATGTTTGTCCGACCCCAATCTGCCCTTCCCTTCTAATGCCAAAGCAGAAATAGGTCTCCTGCATTCTGTGTGGTCTCATTCCCGATTTAAGCACTTAATAGCCACCTTTTCTCAAATAACAAGCGAGGGAGGGTCGCCTGAGCCCAGGGATTAAATCAAATTATCACTGCCTGTGTGGCAATGGGAAGGAGTCTGACATTTGAAGGCTTTGGAAGGGATCCGAGCGCGAAACTCACACCATTTGCAAGGTTAGCATCTTTATTCTTGCAAACTCCGCAAAAAAATAAAATAAAGCCCTAACGATTAAAAACCACCGCCGTGCGCTTGCAACCGCAAGTCACGACTTCTTTCTCCTCTGTAGACGCCGAATAGAAAGCCGCGGAAAGGCCGCCTCAAAACAGACCCCGGGGGACGTGCAAGGGGCAAAAGCTGAAAAAAAAAGCACACAAGCCATGCAAAGGAATGAAAGGCAAAAAAGCAGACACTGTACCTCCTGGCCGCACCATTCACTCCAGTCCCAAATCGCACCCCTAGCAGACATAGGAAGGATCCCCGGTATTCCCAGACGAAGGCGGGTATGGTGGGGGGAGAGACAGGATGACAACCGGGGTGTGGGGGAAGAGGGGGACGCAGGAGGTAAGCGGGAGCTCTTGAAGGGCCCCTAAGTCGGGCACCAGGAGCTCTTCTTTCGGGCTCTTATCTTTGGGGGCGCCTTGCGGGTCCTCCCTCCTCCTCCTCCTCCTCCTCCCCCGGCGTTGCCAAGCCTTCATTGTAGACCTGAGCGCTGTCACGTAGTCTCTCCAGTATTTGCATGCAAAAGGCGACTGACATCGCCCCCTTGCGGCCGAGAAGCGAAGCTCGCCCCGCTGACTGCTGCTGACGAGGGAATCCTGAATTTTTGTCATTTTTATCCCGGTTTCGCCCTGCTTCCTCTCACGGCGATACTTCTCCTGTGTTATCACTCTGCGTAAGGCAGAGTCCGGCGAATTAAGAGGAAACTAGCTTTCCTGTTTTGTGAGCCGGCCCTCCAGGCGGCCAACTCAGGCAGCTGCGTCTGCCGGTCTGTGAAAAAGCAGCAGCTGTTGCGTTTTTATTGCCAAGAAGGGTAGAGGCATCTGTGGGATGGCGTGTCTCGGGTAGCCAAAATACCTTGAACGGCCTGAGGTGATGTATAGCTTGACCGCACAACAGGGCGAAGACATTATTTGTGGCTAGGCCTCAGAATGATATTGCTAAAGGCTAAGGAGCCGGATCAGATGATTTATCATGGCTCACATGCTTGTGTCCAGGAACACCCATTCAAAGAACCTTAGATATTTTTTTTTAAAAAAAAACAATGCTTATTGATCCAAAAGCTGCAGGGAGAGTGGAATCAGGTAGACAGATGGTAAAAAAAACACAACCCCATCATTTTGCCAATGCTTCACATACTGCTCCTTTCACAGGGTTCCACTTCAAATAGCTCAAGGTCACAAAAAAGCAGAAAATTGCTAGTCATTTCATTTATTATTACCATATTTTGACTGCAAAGAAAGGGGGTTGGGGAGAGTTGCTCCAGCATGGGAGTTTTCTGGCCCAGGCACCTAGATATGTTTCATCGCCTTAGTTATTAATAGGAATCTGAAGCAAGAAGCCTCTTTGAGGCTCCAGGTTGCCACATTTCAGGTCAGTTTCACTTCCTGGTTTAAGACATGATTGCTTGCTGGGAATGAGTTCCTGAGTTTAAATAAAAAGAAGGGATGATAAGAAAACAAACTTAGCTGTGACCTTTTGTGAGGGTTCGTAAGTGTGGGCTGTCTTTTCTTCAATAAACGGACGAGACTCTTGAGGAATATCAAACGGCAACGTATTTATTTCAACTTTAACATCATCAGTAACTATACCCATGAAAGGGTTCAGGGAAGTTTGGAGTCCCAGGTTCGGCTTGGAAGGAGTCCATAAACTATGTACAAACGGGTTAGAGTTCTCTGGATTCCAGGGTCCTGTTGAAGGCGGCACAGGCTCTGTTCCAGGGTTTGCTTCTTCATCCAGGGATATTAAGGGTAGGGTCTCCTCGTCTCCACTCCAGCCGCCCCAAGAGGATCCGTCTTCTACTGTGAAGCCCCAGGGGCCGGGTAACCCCCCAGCTTCCTCAACTCGGCGATATGCCATTGGCGCTTGCGCTCCAACTCTCTGGCAACCGCCTCTCGCTCCTCTCGCAGTTTCCTGCGCCACTCCTTCGCCTCCGTCTCTCCCCAGTAAGACGGGCGAGGTTTCAGCCCCAGTTGGCGACGTCTCTCTGCCTCCTCATGGGGTACTCTGACCTGCTCCCACTTGTGGGTCCAGGGGTCCTCCATCCATACCCACTCCCAACCGCCCGGAATATCCCTCGGCTTCCCCCTTATATCCCCCATTCCCGCTTCTATCTCCTCCCCTCTTTTTCCCGCCTGAATCCGTCCCGTTTCGCGGGTAATCTTTAACCCCTTCACTTCCTCCTCTAGGTCTCGGGTGTCTACCCCCTTGCTCAGGGTAAGGGTTCCGCCGCATTCTGCTCCCCAATCAGGGGTTTCTACTCCTTTCTCCTCCCGTCGCGGTGGGGATGGTGGGGGGGAAGTCTGGGTCTGGCTGCTATTCTTCGTGAGCAGCGGCACTCCAACCATGGCTTCCACTTTGGGAGCCTCACACCTTTGGCTACCAACAAAAATATGGGCAAATACATTTCCTTCCATCGCATTCACTGAAAAAGATAACCTTTTACTAAAAAGAACTTTTTAATAAGAAAACAAACTTAGCTGTGACCTTTGGCTATCAACAAAAATATGGGCAAATACTTTTCCTTCCATCGCGTTCACTGAAAAAGATAACCTTTTACCAAAAAGAACTTTTAAAAATTCAGACTTTGGAACTAAAAGTTCCATGTTCAACATATTTTAATCCTTCAAATGAACCAGCATTTTAAAAAAATAGTCAAAGCCTGTGGCATATTTTATTTGAAATTTACGCTAATGGCAAGATAAAACATTAAAGCCTTTTTTCGGATTAAGAGATGAGTAAACTAATCTGTACAAGTTTAAGATGCCACCGATGGTTTTAAATAAAAATGCAAGCAATCTTACAACACATTCCTTTGATAAAATTAAAAAATGTTTACAAGGCAACATTATTCAATTACTATATCACAGTCCCCAGGAAAATCAAGCCATGTAAGGGAAATGATGAGGAAATTTATCTTCCAATTAACTGGTGAAAGGGCTCTTCTCGTCACCCAAGAGGTTTACTGTTGCTTTTTTTAGCTTCTTTAGCAAAAGTGTCTGCCATCTCTGCAGCTTTGTCTTTGACATCCTTGACTACACTGTCCATTTTGCTCTCATGCTTTAAGAAGAATGGGTGGATAATTCCGTGATAAGGAAACTTGGCTCCATTTAAGGGTCTTGGAGCCATGCACCATATCAGAAAGCCACACTTCATCATGTAGTAGAAAGGGAACCAGGAAAGAAAGATGTCAGAGAAAAATTCTGCTATGCTGAAGATGCCATATACCACCCAGTAGGTCAGCCACTGTGTGTCATCATCTTTTTTAGGGCTTTCAATAGCCTTGATGGAGATACTGTATATGCAGGATAGGTAAACCCGATCAGATTGCAAAGGAAGGATGCTCCATAGCCAATCACCCAGCACAGCCAAAATGGAGTAAAGGTGCAAGATGCAGTGGCGGGAGAAATCAGCAAATATTAATGGGGATTTATATTCAAAGACTTTGGGGAAAAAAAAATTAATTTGACTTTTCATTGCTTTATTTTCCATGTTCTTAGGACCAGATGTCCTTTTATCGTGAAGAAACTGTAGTTCATTGCATGGTTAAGAGTTTGACCAGAAGCTCAAACAGCAGAAAATAAGTCCCAAAAGACAGCCTCCTTTATATTGGGCAGCTGATCAAATGTTGTTTGAAAATATATTGTGGGTGAAGAGTTTGGAATTTTTAGCAAAAACTGAATTGTCTGAGAAAGGCAGAGAAAATAAACAAGAAAAATGCCCAAAGCATCCCTACCTGACGTGTTTACTCAGGAAAACAACTAGGATTAGTCCAAAGAAATAATTTGTTCACGTTCTGGTTCTATGTGTGGGTGCGGGGAAGATCTCCTCAGAAGCCACAAGTGGATGGGGACAGAAAAGGCAAGGCCACTCCCTTTTTCCTCCCCTTTTCTTCCAAACCTAGCAGCTTGTTTGAGGAAGAGGCAGACTTGTGCTACAGAGCTGATCTCTTTCAGAGGACTTTCAAGATCAGGCAGCTGCTGTTCTACCCCTAAGCTCTTTTTAAAAAAACTCATCGTAGGCATCCTTCAGTCTCGAGAGACTATGGTATCGTGCTCTGCATGGAGGACTTGGAACAAAAAACCCACTAAATTCTTGGGTAATAGGAAGAGGTAACAACCTTGCTCCTATTCACTCTACCATCCCCACAATTGATTTTTTTTAATAAAAATTGCTGTATTCTGTAGACATATGTGTCTCACACAATCTCAATAGTGCTTCATAAAACAAATATCTGACACGAGGATTTGTCAGGCTAAAAAAGTAAAAGATTTGTGTCTGTGTGGCTCCAAGGAAAATGGGTATGTGTAATTTTGTAGGGCATTTGGAATTTCATGAACTAGAATTGTGCTTGTCTGTAAAGTTCTGTGCAGCTGTGGAACTATCTAGGCACTGAAGTTTATTACTTCTCTGAACATCTCTTTTAAAAAGCCGGGGGGGTTATAACTGTTGTTAATAAACACCACTACAGGTTATTGAGGAATCTACTACAAGAAGTGTCAACAAATAAAATTTATTATTTATTTATGTTATTAGTTGTTTACTTGAGTACTGTGCCGCCTTTCTCCCATAATGGGATTCAAGACAGCTCAAAATAATTAAGATGCAAGCAAAGCTCAAGTTGAAATATTCATGGCCAAGATACTAGACTACCTTCTTTGGGAGCAACAGCTGCATCAGCAAAAGACAATGGGCAGTTCCACTGGATATGGGTATGGAGAAACATCTGGAGGGCAGTTCCTGGGCAGCAGTGGTAGCTGATGGTGAGGCTGGCATTGGATCTTTCACACACAATAGCTGTGACACTCAAGTTAACTTTTGTCACTCCTGCGCAGGAGAAGGCAATGGTAAACCACTGCTAAATCTTTCTTACCTTGAAAACCCTATGACGAGACAGTTCAAAATGATAATGATGGAAGATGAGACTCCCAGGTCAGAAAGCTACTGAGGAAGAGCAAAGAACATGTAACGAGTAGCACAGTAGCTAATGACAAAACTAGATTAAAACCAAAAGGATTTCTAGTCACCTCTGTGCACATCTAGTGGCTGACTGCACAGAGGTGAAAGAAAAGGCTGATGCTGCACAACACACACCGTTGGAATATGGCACATAAGAAGCATGAATCAAGGTAAACTGGAAGCTGTAAAGCAAGAAATGGAACATTTAAACATTGCTGGGCTTGGTGTCAGTGAACTAAAGTGAACTGGAATGCAACAGATTTAGTAAGAAAATTACCAAGTGTTTTACTCAGCAAAGGACGAACAGCAGAAATGAAGTGACTCTAATATTGGAGCAAGATGTAGCACAGGCAGTTAGATATTATAATGTAACATCTGACCAAATAAATATCCATCACACCTCTGGAAAAAAAGTATCAACACAAAGATAATTCAAGTTTATGCTCCAACTTTAGATACAGAAGATGAAAGTAAAAGCTTTTATGCAAGTATCTGAGAGGAAACTGATTGCATACCAACACAAAACATGCTTACAATCAAAGGTGACTAGAACACAAAAACTATGGAACCAAACCAAACATTTGGCCCATGGATCAGAAACAATGCAGAAGAATGGCTTGTAGAGTTCTCTGAAGCCAACAATCAGTTATTTCAAGCCAAAGAGACTGAATTTGTTAAAACCCTAACAATGTGCCAACAAATGTGGAAAATAAACCAATAACCCATAGACTGGAAATGCTCGATGTACATTCTAATCCCCAAGAAGGGAGGTCCATGGAGTGCAGTAACTATAGGACCATTGCTGTAATTTCCAGTGTGAGCAAAGTGATGCTAAAAATGTTGCAGCTAAGACTTTTGCCTTACTTGAAGCAAGAAATACCTGATGTTCAAAATAAATTCTGAAAAGAGGTACTCAAGAACTGCTGGAAAGTTCAATGGGCATCTTGTTACAGAGCCAGAGGTTGGGAGTTCGATTCCCTACTGGGCCTCCCTGACAGGGATGGGACTAGATGGTCTATAACAGTGATCCCCAACCTTTTCTGAACCCCAGACCAGTTGGGGGGATGGGGGATGTGTGCAGGGGGGTGGACTTGGTGTGCTCACAGGTAAATGTGCATGCTCGCGAATGCACAGAGGGGAGTGGCGCGCTCATGCACACGTGGATGGGCATGGCACGTTTGTGGGTGGGCGTGGCATGCACTCGTGCATGCACGGATGGGCATGGAGCACTGACATGCACCCGCAGGTGGGTGGGACACCTAAGTGGGTGGGCCATGTGTGCAGGCAGGCGTGGGGGGAGTGTGCACGGGGGGGGTGTTTGAGAATGGCCTCCACGGCCCAGTCCTACCCAGGCCATGGACCGGCACTGGGCCGTGGACCAGGGGCTTGGGGACCCCGATCTTTAGGGTCCCTTCCAGCTCTGCAAACTATGATGATGATGATGATCATGGTGATCAGATTGCAACTCTCCACTGGCTATAGGAGCATACCAAAGAATTTTAGGGGATCAGTTTATACTTTGTAGGAGAGGTCTCCAAAATTTTGAGCTTGAGGGATTTTTCTGGCTGCCGTATTTTGAACCAGTGGAAGTTTCCACATATTCTTCAAAAGCTCCATGTAAAGCATGTTAGAGTAATCCATGCAGGATGCAGCTAAGGCATATGTCACCACAGCTAAATCAGACATCTTCAGGAATGGCCACAGCAGTCACACCTGCTTTAACTATACAAATGCGCCCCTGGCCACAGCAAAAAGTTGAGCCTCCAAGCTCTAAGGCAAGTCCAGGTGGACACCCAAACTGCTAAAATGAGCAACACCTCCCTGTGTGAGAGACTAAGGAGGATGAGCTCTTATTTAGAACCAGAGTGTTGAGCTTTCCTTCGGTTCCCCTGCTCGACAGTGGGATGGAGTACCTGAAGAAGGAAGAAGAATCATGTACTTTGCTTTGAGCGCATTAAATAAAAGGCAGGGTGTAATAAATGCTGCAACTAAAGAACAACGAAAAGACCCAACTAATTTCTCACTGTTCCTCCAGGCACTTTGCCTGGCATCAGCACCGAAATACTATTGCTTACCCAATGCTCCTTTTGGCCATGCTTATTCTATCCTTCTGGCAGATTAAAGGAAAAACAAAACAAAACAACAAGAACAAAGCTACCTCGTTTGCCACTGTGTACTGGCCTAATTTGGTTGCCAGTTTCCTTTTTGGCAAAACAACCACTTATTACTAAAGAGAGCAGTGGTAGGCAATGGTAGCCCTTCCCCAGTTTGGAAAGTGCATCTCTCATTGTTAGGTGCCTTCAAGTCAGGAATGACTTCCGGCAACCCTGAGAGGGCTGGCCAGGTGAGATCTTTAAGGAGTGGCTTGACCGGTTTCATCTCCCTAGTGAGTACCGATGGCAAAGTAGGGATGTAAACCTAGGTCTCCTGAATCGTCGTCTGTCTCGCTTCCCACTGCACTGCGCTGGGCACATCTCACAACTCCACAGTGCTTTACCATGGCATGTGATGGGAATTGTTAAGTCGAAGGTACATCTAGCAAAGCCCACAGACCGTGACACACCCCAGCTCATCTGCTACAGAGCCAGGCACTGCTTTTGACACGCAGGTGCATCTGCGCTGCTCTCCCTTTGCAAACATGCACATTACATCCTATAGTTTGCAGATGCCGGCCCTTGCGTATCCACTGGGTCACTAAAACAGGTAAATCCTATGCGTATGTCTATTCAGAGACAGTTGGTCTCACAACTGGGCATATATCCACTGAGCCTTACGTCCTTGCTGAGTACGCTCGCCAATACACTACGCTGTCTCAGCCTCTCAAAGACCTGCTTCGGTTCAAACAGATCCTTCGTTTTCTAGCCGCCTAGAGCGGTAGTATAGACCAGATGGGCGGGATACAAATCAAATCAAATCAAATCAATCAATCAATCAATCAATCGTGTCCCGCCGACGTTTTAACTGTCCAATCAGCACCTCTTCCCTGCCTTCCGTTCCTCTCTTTCTCTTTCTCTCTCTGGCCAATCATATAACTGAGCAGTGGGAAATTACACTAGTTTAGCTTAATTTTTGCCCTTTGGGTGGCATTGCTCGCCTGCAGCCAGATGGCAGCAGTAGTCACTTTCCTAGTACTTTTGTACCTCTTTTTTTTATGAGCAAAAAAGTTCTCTAACCAATCCTGTAAAATGTAGACTTTTACCTCCTGTATTTTTGGCTTCTGCCATCCATTAGATACCTCCTTCCTATCATAAAAGAACTCTATCGAGAGTTCTCCTTCAATAAGGTCTTCCACCCAGCAAAATACTGTACCATTTTGAGTAGACGTTATTACTTGCAAGCATTGCAAATACGGCGCTGGGGGGGGGGGATCTTTGCAGTTACCCTGGACTGCCAGGAAGACGCACGAGCGAGTTCATGAGCAAATCAAGCCTGAGCGATCTCTGGAGGCACAAGTGATGGACGTGAGGCTATCCTGCTTTGGGCACATCATGAGAAGGCAAGATTTGTCTGGAAAAGACAATAGTGCCAGGAAAGGTGGAAGATAGCAGGAAAAGAGGAAGAAGGATTGACCTTATAAAGGAAGACACAGGCTTGGATTTGTAAGAGCTGAGCAGGGCTGTCGAGCCCTTATTCACAAAGTCTCCGTAACTTGCAAGCGACTTAACAACAGTAACAACCGCAAATACGAGAACAAGGTGGAGGAACGTGCTGCATTAATTAATTAATTAATTAATTGCAGCTGTCATTAACAGTAGCCACTAATAAGGAGTGATGGGAGCTGCATCCTCACAATCCCCATCCTGGCTCCAATCCATTCTCTTACAAAGGTATTTGTTCAAGCGGATTCCTGCCTGAAGTACCTCCAGAGCTCTTGCCCACATTTGGAAGATTCGAATGGTAACAGCAAGAAAGGTGGGATGTGTGACTCTTCTCTTGTGTTGCTCTATGGTACTCGAGGGAGGAAATTCCATCTTTTTTCTGAACTCTCTGATTGGCTGGGAGGGTCACTCCGGGGTCGCTCTATGCTCGCGGCGCCGTCTCGCTTACTCCTCGAAAAAACTTGCAGGCAAGTGGCTGCGGCTTCGGATGAGTGTCGGCGCCGCGGCGCTGGCGGGCTGGAGGCTCCCTCGGGAGCATCCTCGAAAGCGCCGTTGACGGCCAAGGGAGGCGGGCAGAAGGCGAGGGCGGGAAGCTTTGCACGGTGGCAATTAGAAACGGAGGTGGAGGGGAATGTCTCTTCTGTGCAACGTGGGGAGTATCGTCTGAAGGGTGCATCGAGATGGGGAGGAGGGGTTGAACCTGGAGAAGGGGCGTCGGCGGCGCGAGGGGAGGGAGTTGCGAAGTTGGCGGTGTCTCCCGTGCCGGTTTAATGCCTGGCTGCTGATGAGAAGCGCGGGCAGCAAATGGAGGACTCGGCGACGTTGACTTCCCCTTTGTCTCTTGCAAAACGGCGAGGCGCCGGTGAAGATCCTGACGTGCATGTGCTGGGGGAAATTCTCCGGCGGCGGGGCGGAGTTAAACCTCACGCTCCAAGGGTTGCCGGAACGTGGAAACAAGCGCGCGGGTTTCTTGCGTGTAATGAAACGAAGTGTTGGAGCCGAAGGACTCTCGGATCCCGTCGTGCTTTTGTTAAAAACAGTCGGCGCTGGAGAAGTAAAGGGCGACCACCGTTGCCTTTGTCAGATTGCACTCAGAATCATCATCATCTTAGAAATTTGCTTTTGTAATTCGTATTTTTTATGTACATTATTTTACTACCTTCCTATGTTGATATGATGACCATAACCCATATTTGAAATCTTTTCGGAGGTGGAAGGGAATGGGAGGTGGAAGGGAGCCCATTATGGATGAAAACTGTCTGCTTGAAAATTTAAGAAGACTGTGATGTATTGCAGTGGTTCTCAACTGTGGGTCTCTAAATGTTCTTGGACTAAAATTGCCAGAAGCCTTAGGTGCCCAAGGTTGTACTGTATAGAGACCTGACAAATTCCTGAAAGATTTAGTTCTAGAATGGCGGCTCATGCATTCAGATCCATTTATGGCTGGGATGACTGGTACAAGTGCATCAAAAATTTTAAAAATGATGTCAGATTTTATTGGCTTGACTTCAGAAGGTATTACTGTACTGACAAAGCTGGGATTAGTGTGAATGCAACTTGATTCATACAGATTATAGAGAGTGCAGGTTTTCTTTAGACTACAGGTATATGGATTTGGTTGCCCTATGCATTTGAACTTTGGTTAGGTTTTTTTGAACTTATAATAAACACCCATAAATTCTTGTAAGTTATACAGTGGACCCTCGACTTACAGACGGCTCAACTTACAGACTTTTCGAGTTACAGACTTCTCTGGCCGCAAAATTTAGATTCGACTTGCAGCTGGAAAATTGACTTACAGACCAGAAAAAAACCAAAATGGAACAAAAATAGAATAAAAACTGCCAGTTATGGAATTAATCGGTTTTCAATGCATTGTAGGTCAATGCAGATTCGATCTACAGACTTTTCAACTTGCAGCCACCGTTCCAATACGGATTAATTCCGTAAGTAGAGGGTCCACTGTAAAGGGGATTCTCAAGGAAATAGAAAAATGTGGCAACGGCCTGAAGGCAAGGTCTTAACTGATTTTGTTCCTTGCTTTTCTCCAGGTAGCCTTTGTGAGCCTTCTTTAGCTCTATGCTATCACTTCATCACTCCTGAAGATGTATATGCTGGTAGAAAAGCACTCAAACTCTGTTCTTCATCTGAAGAGGTCACCTAGTATCAGATCCTGGTCTGTCCTTGTTGGTAAGACCTCAGTCCTTTCTCCATAAATTGTACATTTCCTGAGTTCTTGACTTTTCAAAAAATCTCAGTAAACCACTGCTAAAACAAACCTTAACAAAGCATCTCCTGGAAAAGACAATAGTTCATTCTCTTTTTGCTAAGGTTAGGCAGATCTGTGGCAGATATAGTATGGACCCCGTTTTGCAGCCAGGAGCTTGGAAGGCTGGGATAGATTTTACAAACTAATTGGAATGCTAACTGCAGTATTGACTGCAGGCTGCTAATCCAGGTTGTATTAAGATCTCGGTTTCAGACACAGAAACCTGATGCTTCTGTGTATCTTACTGCTCTGCATCAGCAGAGGTTGCAGTTGATTCTGGCTAAATGTAATTCTTTGAGAGTACTCAGAGAGTATTCAGAGGTGGCTTACCGTTCCCGTCTTCTGAAGGTGTCTGGGACTGTGCAGCTTGCCCAAGACTCCACAGGCTGTTTTCCTTGCGATCTCGGTTTCAGACACAGAAACCTGATGCTTCTGTGTATCTTACTGCTCTGCATCAGCAGAGGTTGCAGTTGATTCTGGCTAAATGTAATTCTTTGAGAGTACTCAGAGAGTATTCAGAGGTGGCTTACCGTTCCCGTCTTCTGAAGGTGTCTGGGACTGTGCAGCTTGCCCAAGGCTCCACAGGCTGTTTTCCTTGTGAGCTAATTGCAAAGGCTCATATAAGTAATTGACATTATCTTCTCAGTTCATATGTTTCCCTTTTCTTTCTAGGGATCGCCTCTGTTGGCCTGGCTGCTGCTTACTATAGTGAGGGTAAGCATCTATAATGTCAGCAGGGGGCTTTTAGTTGTCATTATTTTATTGGAATATAATTTTCATATACCCACTTGTCTTTTTTAATAAGTCACATAATATTGTATTGATTGTATTGTGCCCTACCATGAGGGCTGATGATGCAATTTTGAACTTCATATACAGGTCGATGTTTAACAACAGATCAAATTAATGTTCCTATAGACAGGTCTAGTTATCAAACTGTTTAGTAATCTCAGTGGACTGAAAGTACATATGCTTGCCTGATTCACATGTCAGTTCTAAATCTGGATTATTCTGCTTTATTCAGATAGTTTGGGATGGAAAATCTTCTATCTTGCTGGCTGTCTTTTTGTAGCTGTGCAGAATCTGGAGGAATGGGAGGTAAGCAGCATACTTGAGCTGGAAAATAGTTGTCTGGATAGCTCAATGTCTTTCTAGGTAAACTGATGATAAGCATGATTAAAGATAAAATTGTCATGTGTACAAAAGGACAATTTGTCCTGAAAAACAATTGACATGGTGTTTATCAAGGTAAGTTCTGTCTCACTAGTCTTTTAGAGTTCTTTTACCGAAGGGGCTCCAAGCCTTGAGTCCCTAAATGTTCATGGACTACAGTTATCAGAAATACTCTACTTCTTGGCAGGAATGTAGATCAAGAGAGATAGTTGAAGGATTTTCATGCAGGAAATGTGAGATTTTTCAAGTTTCATTTATTGAGGATCTGGCAGCAAGCTTATTGCTATAATCCAGCAATGGGACAGAAATTACTATTTGTCACTATATAGCTCTGTATTTTTATTGTCCAAAACGGAGAATACAAGACTATGTTCCTGCTGTTTAAATAGCAATTTTCTTTTCATTCCACCACTGGGATTATGTTGTGACCTTTTCAATTTTGTTTTAGGAAGCTGTATTTGAAAAGGATACAGGGAAGGTCTTCCTAAAGACATTCAACCTTTACAAAAAGCTGTTGACCCTGTCAAGGGCTGGCAGTGAGCAAGGTAAAGCCACAAATAATATCTGTTAAGAAGAAAAGAAGGAAGGAAATATATACTTACTGTATTTTTAAACCTATGGCTCAGTGTGAGTGTGTGGGCAGGCACAGACATGTCCTTCTGTGAATATACAGTTTGCATAATAGGAACACAAAGAATTCCAGAACATTTGCACATGTACAGCCCCTTGTTTACGCTTTAAATTACTAACTGCTGTTGAGAGCACAGTGTTCTCCAATGCCCTGATGCAGAGCATGCCAGAGTAACGTGGTTTTCATTTGCAGTAATACAGATTGGACCTGAGCAAAATGATTTTAATGAGAAAGTACTATAATAAACCACCTAGGTGAATCTTCATTTCAGGATTTTTTTCTAGTTGCTAACAAAGTTGATATCAACCAGAAGGGTTCCTCATGTTAGGGAAAGCGGTTGAACCTGATGACTTTATGGTCCCTTCAACTTCTCTAAATTAATAAAGGTGGTAGAAGGTGTTTTTTTTAAAAAGCCTTTTTGGTTCTCAAAATAATAGTTATCAGGACTGTTCTTAGTTTACAAGCTAGAAATTGTCTTTATAACAAAGCCCACCTATAGTTCTGAACACATGGCTATCTTATAGCAGCTGGTATAAGTAGCTTGGGGTCATTTATAATTGTTGTTAAATACCAGGCACAGTCAATCAGAATTATAAAAACATTGACTCGTATTATAAAACAGACACAAGTTTTAACTGAAAACTCTATTAAATATTGACACAGTATATATACTGTTCCTAATACTGCCACTTTTTTATAGCTCTATTGATGTTGTTTCTGACATTTGCAAATGCTTATAATATTGTGTGAAATTTATTGATATTATTATCATTACATCATTCTACCCTGTTCTTGTCAGCACTACCTGCAATGTGAAGTGGGAGAAAATGAAGTTGGGATGGTGAAGACCTCTGTGCCAGTGACTCTCGGGGGAAGGGTTTAAGAAATCAACTTCATGCCACATGCTTGGATTAAATATTTATTCTACCCTAAAGTAATGGAAGGAATTTGACAGTAATAACAAAGGAAGCCTTGGCTTTTTCAATTTTTTAAGATTTGGCACTCTAAGGTTATAATGAGTATGCCTTCTGCTAACATTTCAACTTTCTGCTCCTTTCTCAAGTAGTGGTGGTTCCGCTGGATGAAATTCAGGCAGCAAATGTGGAAGAAGAGAAAGTCCGTTATTTTGGGAAAGGATACCTAGTCGTGTTACGATTTGGCACTGGGTTTTCACATCCTCTAACACAGAGTGCAGTCATGGGCAACAGAAGGTACAGTATGACATTTCTCCTCAGTGTTTGGTTTAGATAGATGAGAAAGCAGGATTTAACACTAGAGTAACAACAAAACTTTCAAGAACGTTGTTCTTGTGCCATCTCTGGTTATTTACCCTTGCCAGTTGTGTTGAACATCTCAGCTGTTACCCAGGTAGGTAACTTCTATGCCAGTGCAGCAGATGGAGAGGGAAATGTGAGAAATTGAAGCTTTCCTTGTGAGTTACTTTAATTTTCATACCCTCATCTACTGTCCCCCTCTTTATTAGGCCAATGACCATATCTTTGTACACATTTGCATGTCTTTCTCAGTTTGGCTTTAGTATCATTAACTTCTTTGCTCGATTCTTTCGTGTAGTGATGTAGAGGCTGTGGCCAAGCTCGTTACCAACTTTCTTGAACTGAACAAGGTGCCAGCTCACCAGGACTTTGATGACAGCAGTGAAAGTGATGTTACTGATGAAGAGGAACCCAAGGATAAGTAGCAACATGAACCCAAGGACAACGAGCACAGAAAATAAGAATTTTCCAAGCGAAACCTCTTGAGGTCTGGATTTTTGGCTGTGGATGTTTATAAACTCTCTCCCTTCTATAGTTACAAATGTTTGATAAGGCAGAGAAGACTAGAAGAAACTCATTGTTGAAGTATTTCTTCCCAGCTGTGTGGACTGAAATTTGCCTAGAGGAACTGAAGTGGCAATGCTATTGCCAAAGTATCAATGATCACCCAAGCCAAATGTGCACAGCCCTGGGTGTGCAGCCAATTTTACCATTTTTAAAATCTTGTTTGTTGCTGCTGCTGCTAGTTACTCTCATCATGCTATGAATGATTCCATTGCTTTCTGCTGCTTCCCTTTCTCACACTGCTGAACTTGACCATCCAAGTGCTTGAGTATTTTACATTTCAAGCAGCCAGTCTCAGACAGCCAAGCCCGATGATCTTCAAGCTTGCCTGCACGCACCCCTCCCAACTAGTATCTACATACAGGAAGTCAAATGGCAAAGCTTTCTCCTCTCAATCCAGGAGAAGGAAAAACAATTTGGCATTTCATCCAAATTCAAAATATTCTTAATAGTAAATGTTAATGAAAAACAAATTGGTTTAATGCAATCCTTGTTTAAATATTTACAGTTAGAAAAAAAAAACAACCCACAGATCTGCATTCATACATAACCTACTTTCATTCTGAAAGAGTTCACTCTCCTGTATGCAAAGGAAGTAGTGGTATGGGACCCAAAGCTCACTTTGACTTGTTCACCCAATGTGATTTGTGTTAGGTGCCTCTCCCCGCAACGTTTAAATAGAACACTTATATTACATTGGAAGCTTCCTTTGAACCAAAGTCCAAGAACATTAGCACAAAGAAATTGTGGATACACACCAGTAATAGAAAACTCAGATTAGCCACCATCAACTTTCTGATAAAATACAGAAAAGCAGGTAATGAAGTAAGATCGCCGTATATATGGAGGATCGATTCCAGGCAGTGGATAAGTGAAACCGTGGATACTGATCCTGAAGATAAAGCGGTCCTAGTGTACTGGTCTGTCATTAGTGAACTGATCAGTATAATATAGGTGTTCAATTGAGATATTAAAGAAGTAAATATGGAAGAGATGCTTCCATAATCAATAAATTCCATAAATTTGGTTTCACTGATTTGAAAAAGTTGAGATCTGTCCTTGGTTCTTAGATTTAAAATATATACATATACCTCACATTTCAGACCTTCTAAGTGTTTGATTTACAAGCTTGCTTTTGTTGTTCTGCTCATGGTAGATATTTTATAAATGTCTTGAGCTACTGAAAATGTATTTACTGTAATTTTAAATACCTCTCAAAAGAAAGTATATATCACATAACTCCTACCACTAAATGTTTTTTGTTTTTGGCTTTTGTTTTTTTTACATTTTTTTACAGCTTCATGTACTGTTTGATATTCAGTATTAAGATTTTGGGTAGAAACACAAATCTTAAAATAGAACTTTTTCCTTTCCTTGTTTCCTTTTGAATATATGCACACCTGGCTAAAAACAGCTGTTTAGCAAAACCAAAAAAAAACAACAACCCAGCATCCTATATTGAATTGTCTCAAGACGGGGCATAATGAATGTGTATGTTTTGAACTCTGAATGATGTTTTACTTCCTGGGGACTTGCGTACAAAGTTACAATAATATATGATATTCCGGAAGATATTGATACAGTATATCATTAGAGATGAGATTTGGGAAGGGGAAGAACTTCCACTCCTACAGTTTTGTGGGACTCTTCCATACCCCCAACGCCTGGCCAAATTAGGGTATAATGAATGTGTATGTTTTGAACTCTGAATGATGTTTTACTTCCTGGGGACTTGCGTACAAAGTTACAATAATATATGATATTCCGGAAGATATTGATACAGTATATCATTAGAGATGAGATTTGGGAAGGGGAAGAACTTCCACTCCTACAGTTTTGTGGGACTCTTCCATACCCCCAACGCCTGGCCAAATTAGGGTACTGGGAGCTGCCAAAATGGCAGGAGTTAGAGTAGCCCTCT